AGGCCTTAGAATTAAGTCTATACCGTTATTGTTATTAAAAAGTAAGTCAACGATTTGACTTTGGTTTTTTTTTCAAAGTACTTGAAATTTGTACACTAGGTAGATAGGGATTCTCTACTAATAATAAACACTAATAATTGACACTCCAAAAAGTGCATGTAAAACGACTGCTAAAAAGAGTTTATATCTCAGCTAGATAACATAATATGTCCACGATTGCTTTTTTATTTATGAAATGTTTAAAATTTGCAAAAAACTTTAACGCAAAAATACATTCTCTACTAAGATTAACATTAAGTGGTCATATTTAATCAATTTTAAAATAATTTATATGTAAAACTGTGTAATTATGTGTCTAGAATTCAACAAGAAAAAATTTATTTTAAATAGGCAGTGTTTAGTTTAATTAGCACTGTGTGTAAATTTGCACACATTAAGAAAAAAATTGTTTAGAGTATACAACTGACGGTGTTGGTATTGATATTTTATTTGTAGTAACTAAGTCCTGTGGCAATTTTAAGTTCCATGTGAATAATTGTAAGCTTACCATAATATCTTTGTCTAATTTCACCGGGCTATAAATGTATTTTTGATAATTTTTTTATTCCACTAATTTTATTCTCCACTTTTTAGAGGAAGTGCGTCATTCTTTAACAGCTTTCCAGATACACCTACATACAAATGTGCGTATTTGTGGACTGAACATGAATATCTATGTATGTAATAATATATCTCTAAGCAGTGGAATTTATGTCTAAACTAAATATGTTTGCAAAATGTGCTTGTAAATTTTACGCATAATGCATTTTAGAAAAAAGGAAAAGTTATGTTTGTTTTGAATGTACTGATGTACATATGTGTGTACGACGAAATATGCTTGCAACGCACCAATTCCATTTTCAGCAGCCTATCAAACCGCAAGCAAATGAGAAAGATATGTATTTTGAAATAATAATAACAAGAAGTAGATAAGTACTAAAAACGCTTAAAGCATTTTGCTAGACAATACGCACTCAATCGCAAACCCATAAGGCCATTAGTCATTTTAGGCACAATATGAAATTCACGCAAAACCATTAACGAAGTTGAAGCATTTATGGCGTGTGTAAGCAATATAAATACACTGGCGGTCATTAGAATAGACTCGCCTTACTTTGAAGAGTTT